CTTAAGCAGGTACTGGTCACTGTTATGACACTACAAAGACATTTTTTTTGTATTGGTTGAAAGAACTTGCTGGATTTGAGATTTTTTTTTTTAATGCAAAAGTGCTTGTCTAAAGTGGATTTACAAGATCTTTGTAGTTCAAAATGAAAAGCAGTATGATTATCCTGTGGGAGTTAACATCTTTTCCCCCAATATATATCTACTTAAATGTAAGATGACTCCCAAAACAAGTTAGCCTTTTCACTCATAATTGTGGATGGTGTTAGGAGGATCAAGTCTGTGTATTGACTAGATGTGCCCCTGATCCCAATCTCATGGAGCACCAACATGGTTACTACTTGAATTTTCTCCTTTTGGGTTAGATCTGTGCCCTGCCTCAGCAGAATGTGCAACAGGAAGTAGACAGGACACCAATGTGCTTTGCTACTGTATTAATTCGCCAACAAGTACCCGCACTGTTCTCACATGGACTAAGTCAGACATCAAACAGACTTTGCAATTTGGAGCTAACAACAGGAGGGCCGCGACAATGGCCATTTTTGACGTTAGGAAATTCTCACATAAATCTCTATTTGGGATTCTTTGATTGCTGTTTCTCTGCTCTAATTTCTCTGTAATTACCTTGTTTGTGTACCACAGAACTCTGAAAATGTGTCTTTTATATTACTATAATACACAAAATCTTTGTTGGTTTGCCTATACAAGAATGTCAGGAATCAACCAATCAAAACTGGCAAACAAGCATGTTTTAGGCCACTGAAGGTTCTCATCTATATCAGATATGTCATCACACTGTCTAGCAACCACCTATAAATGAACACCTTATGAAAGCATTGTAGCCTTTTAATTTCACAACACTAACATCTAATTTGTATCCACTGCATGTTTATATTATAGCATCATTTTGTTGCCTAGCAACCACATAATCAGCGATTAAAACACACACAGTAAACAAAACTGTAGTATGGGCATGTGTGTAGCTATCTCATTCATTTCATGCTTAAAATTCTCTAATATTCATGTGGTGTTTATTTTAATTTATTTTTTATGATGAAGTCCAGAAAAAACAAAGGTCTGTAGTTGCAGAGCTGGAGAGGTAAAACACTAACTGCTTGGCTTTCCCACCATCCTCTGTTGGCACTGAGCGATTAAAAGTGTTATATCCCACCAGACGCAGTGTAATTAGAAGATAACTCTCCCCACACGCACAAACACATGTATAGGAGTGTGGAGTTTTTAGTGGAGTCACCTAGCAACCCTAATGGCTTCTGCCTAGTCTTAGTCTAAATGTCAACCTGACCCCCTATCCTATCTTTAATGAGAGACTTGACTGAACGCTTTTTAATGACTTTCTCAAACACTCACAGATCTGCCACTAGGGTTTGTGGAAGTTTAAAACCCACAACTCCTTACTACAGCAGATTTCATTTTATCCCTCCGAGGTGTCTGACATAACCTCTCTATCCATGTCTTATTTGTCCTGTGTTTCCTTTTATATTATTCATATTTGGTTTGCATTATGTATACTGTGGGAAACCCTGCCCAAGCTAGAAAAGTAAACATGCTCGACGTAAAGTAAACAGTCTGGTGAACGAGTTCATGCTATTAGAACTTAAACATGCATGCTAATAAGTTCCTCGTTTTATTTAAGTCCTTAAGACTTAAATAAAATGTAAACCTCTGTGTGCTTTTATTAAAACTGAGTTCAAGAGGTCATGTAACTCAGCTGCTTGATGACACTGTCAACCTGGTGCTCAAGGTGGGATTACTGCTTCCAAGAGAAGGATCTACTGGAATCCATAAATTAATCTGTTAAAATGCTCTGCATTCCTCACCTTGGGTATTTGAGAGAAAATATAAAGTCAAACAAAATGTGGTGATGAATTTTGCTTATATAAGTTTTTACATTTCACAGTGTTAGAATTTTTTTCTTCGCATTTTCTTCTTTTTTCCACCAATATATTTGGAAATATTGAGCAGTCTGTTGGATTCTAGTTGTTCATTAGCTCAAAGATACACTTGAGCTAATGATTAATTAAATCATTTATTTTTAATGTTATCATAAGTTATTACTCTTCAAATTATGGCTGGAATTTCAAATTAGAAATGGTACTGTTCATATGATGTTAAACTGGCTGTAATCCCCAGCTTAGTTACTGGTAATTAAGTCGTGTTTTTAATCAAGGGTTAAGTTGGAATTACAACATGGATCCTTCTCATTCCAAGTACTTGTGTTTACCTAGGTGTGTCTGGAAAAAATGCATAATTAAACAGTGATTATTTACTGGTTACAGTATTAACATGTAAGTGAAAACTTAATTGTCTAATACAATCAAACACAGTACATTCCCATGTTTAAAACTTGCGTTATCACATGTTTAAAGATATGAAAACT